AATCACCATGGCCTTTTAGTTCGTCACGAGTGAAAAGCGAAAGGTGGACGGTCACTTATTTTTCCAGCAAAAACAAGCTGACAAGACATATTGGAAGTGTCAAATGTATCAGAAAATCAAGTGCCGGGTTCATGTAGTAACAGATGGAGATGCCGTGGAGACTGTGAACGCAGTTCACAACCATATTGGGAATGCGGTTCGTGTAGAAGCTTTGAAGATGGAAGATGTACGTGATCGTGGATTCAGGACCGACGGAAGGTAGAATAATTATATTTTCCACCGCAAGAAATGTGCTATTGGTCTCATCTAAACGTTGGTTTGGGGACGGAACATTTAAAACGGTGCCTCGTTTGTTTTACCGACTCTACATGGTATTCAGGTGAACAGTTCAATTCTGCTTCTGGATGCTCTACTACCGGACAAGACAGAGACTACATATGTTGGGTTATTGCAACAAGTAAAACAGCTTCAACTGATGCCTCTCCAGAAACGATTATAACTGATTTCGAACCTGCCACTGTCAGTGTTATTCGTGAAGAATTTCCAAGAGCTAGGCATCGAGAATGTTTCTTCCATTTTTCCAGTGTATATTCCCAAGGATTCAGACAGAGGATCTTCAAAGAAGGTACGAAACTGGCGTCGAATTTTCAATTAAAATGCGACTGCTGCTTGCGTGGCCTTTGTCCCAACAAAAGATGTAGTAGAAGCACTTGAGGTCCTTAGTGGCAACGGGGATAATATGCCTGAAGAAGCTCAAGGCATGATTGATTACTCTGAGGGCTGCTGAATCAGACGTCCTCAAAGATGCATGGGAAGCTGAATGTGGAACTGTCACGAAGGAGCAAGACACCGTCTTCCGAAGAGAAACAATTCACATGAAGGGTGGCATCGTGGATTCGAAGTGCAAATATCTGCATAACGCGCTAATATCTCCGGTTTATTCAGCGTGAGTAGAACATCAGAAGATTGCAAATCGAACAATATGTGGTGAACATCAATGAGTGGCCTACGAAGTAGCCCTGCGCGTAAGAAATATTAAGATTGCACTGAAAGACTTTTCAGAGTAGCTGCGAATTGTGACAGAAATAATGTTTCAGATTTTTTGAGAGGTGCGGCACATAATACAAATTATTAATTAGGTATTGTAGTAACAACATTTTTGTATGCGTGTAAAAAATGTTTCAGAAGTTTTTTTCAATTAAATTATTTCAATGAAATCTGCTTTATTCGAAATTTACAGGCACCTGCATCATTATCATTTTTACGCCAATTATTTCAAAATCAGCACATTTCAATTTTTTTAGAAATATCGACAATACTTTCCTGGTTTGAAATTTTGAAATTAAGGTTTCCACGTTTCATGGGTTTTAATAAATAAATCATCGGCGATCAATTGTAGAATCGGTGAATTGCAGTCAGTGAACTTCCCTAGATCTGCTTAAACGCCACGAGTCTGAATAAAGATCTAACTCTCCGTCCAATCTTTGTGCCTATAACCATTTAATCGTCATTTGTTGAAGTAGAAAACAGAATTGAAATGAGTTTAAAAAAATATTTATTATTCTATTGCATCTTTCATCGATTCGCAGAGGCGATGCTGAACCCGGTTGCAGTGTCTTAATTCTTCAAAGAAACATCAACATCGTGCTGCAAGTACGACAGGTAGTGTCCCAACCAGTAACTGCACCCACGTGTAGGTGTCGAAGGAGCACCTTTATGCTGAGCGCTAACGCAGAGTTTGAGAGAACAACAGGCTCACTAACCGCTTTCGGTTATAATTACGAATACTTGATTGTCGCAGCAGGCATAAAAGCTGCACACCTGTGTTAACGAAAATCACGTAATGAATATCGTCAGCATTTCCTATAGTAGTCGACTAGTCTGACTTCTGTTTACGCCTAGCGCACAGCGTGTCATCCTGGCATCCTCGGATGCTTGACAAATAGCCGTCGTCGCTATGCCAAACAGGCGAAGGCGAACCTGCGCAGGGTACACTTTATTGACGATAGCGTGGGTTTGATGTCAAATGAATTATTCAACATTAATCGATATAAATTACTGATGAGCTTCGCAATATTTGCCTAATGACTCAGGTTGCGTTGTTATTTTGCTTGAAAACCATCCACCCTCGAACAAGTTTCGCGCACAGGCTACCCAATCGCTTCTTCTCAGTTGTTGTTTATTGCCATTTTTAGCCAGAGACGGCATTCAGGTATCCGCACCTCGTCGCTTAATATCCGTGATTTTCATCTCATGCGCTGAAGTTCGTTTTGCGAGACCTCATCTGATGGCTGAGTCCTCCACTTGCTGTGCTGCAAATGTAGGTAAATCGTTTTCATTCTGACTCATCGAAATTCGTATTTGTTTCAGCTTCACTCAGTGTGCATTCGGCTCCAGAAATCCAAGAATATCCGTGCCTAATCCGTCATGCCATCAGCGTTATTTAATCACTAAAACTGCAAGAAAAAACTGACTTGTTCATCTTGACGATATCCCGTGGGCATGCTTGAATCTGCGGAATCTGGTAATCGGTCTGTCGTCACTTTTTGTACATCTCATACAGCATATTATAAAATGTCGTACGCCGAAGTACAGCAAGTGATGCAAAACGGCGTCAGGCGAAGATTTCGCAGCATATTTCACTGTCTCTTGCTTCTAGTTGTTTATCAAAGCATTTAAACAGATCAGAGCTCCATGGCTTTGGCATCTTTAGGTGCATCTCACAATGTCTTGTTTGTTGGAGTCCCCTCCTACTCTTTGCGAAAGATGTTGTTCTGGTTTTTCATCCCGTACACATCAGATACTGTTTTTAAACAGTAGTATGTGAAATAACTCATGACTAGTCCAAGAATAGACCCGTCTGACATTTCAGAAGATGCGATTACGATAACAAAATAAAAAAATGTTAACGTAGATGCTACAGATAAATTACCGCCAAAGGCAGCCAAGGCAGCTGATCGACGTCACGTTTGTGTTCACGTTTGTTAGAAATCTAGATCTCATGGACAGTAGTCTTCCACTCGAAGTGCTAAGTTGTTGAAATGCTTTCTGAGTTAAATGTTCTGATCCATAATTCATATACATAAGTCGTGCATGTATCACGTAATATCTAGTCTAATGCTCAGTATAACTGTTCAGGCAGAAAACATTTTCATTCTTCTTTCAGAGACAAATGCCTCACGTCGTGCTGCTGTCCATCTGCCTGCGGCACCAATCTTTTTCGAAGGTGAGTACTGCGTAAGCGAACCGATGGTACATTTTAGCAAACCCACATCACTGTAAATCTGTTGCTGAAGCAAACGTTCCTACCGCCGTTGACAGGTCGATCAGGAGCATTATCGAAACGATTAACTGTTAACTTAATACAAACAGCAAGGGGTAGTCAATAAATATATGTCGCCGTAAAGAGATATGTGCCTCTGTCTATCAGTGGTTGTTTGACGTTCCGCCATGTCCCTACAAACGCTGTATAACAAGGCAATATATGAACAATTTTATTGACGGTTTACAATCCCTTCTCACTTATTTGGACTCGTACGACATGGTCCCCTAATTCTACGAGTCCCCGAAACCTTTTACGCGGGTCGTGGCTTCATACTAATGCAACACCTGCAGTGCATGAGCGCAAAACAGTGCCGCTTTCATGAGTGGAGTAAAATCAAGTTCGAACATCAGCACAACGAACTGTTCGCAATTGTACACGGTAATATTTACAGGAACAAATTTGCCCCTTTTAGATTGAGAATGCTATGGCCGACTATTTTTTACTGGCAAAGTGTTTTATTTGGAATAAATTCTCCTATCGTTATAGAAGCAGACGCCACAACGCAGGGGTTTCTATACTCGGTTATAGTGATATCGATAATCACTGTGGTGCTGTATGCAATTATGCTTCGTCGGATTGTCGTTTATGTCCCCGGAAACGGATTGAAATCGATGCTGTCCTGCCTCTGCGGCTTGTACGCTGTAAGGTTACTTAAACGTATTGAATTATGTTTGCTGTGATAATCTACGATAGCCGTTTGCATAAGCAGAGCATATGTGCTTTGTGATGACAGTTGTGGTTTAGGCCTTACATAGCACTTTTTGCTTTAATCCATCCATTACTGTATGTGAAGATCTGTTTCTACTTTTTTCCTTCCTCCTAGATGATAGCCTGCCGAACGATGTCTGCCTGTTTCGGATCCCACAAATGGTTCTTGGTCATGCAACTTCTCTAACAGGGCAAATCTTTCCCCCGTAATCTCTGCACCTCCTGAGGCAACATGTTTCCAAAAATGAATGGCAATTTCTCATTTGCTTCGTTTAGCCCTCGTTAGGCCTTGAGGCAAAAGTTGTTCCTCGCCATTCAGGGGTTATTATTATGACTTATGCTGAATTAACCACCATCTGTTTTCAACGCATCTACTGCCACCGTTCACGGGTCTACGCTTCTTACCTGTTTTACATCGTTTGACAAAGCCATTTCCACTCTATTGTCTAACCTTTACGTTCAACACTTCCGACGTTACCATAGGACATTAGTCTTCAGGCTGTAGATCTTACATTATGGTGAGATATTGACAGAAAGCTGACAAGCTTAAGGCCTTCGTACGCTGCGAAAAGCACGTTTAATTAAATTTGAAGTTTATTATTCAACAATAATAAAACAGCAGAACAGTTCATATGATTAAACAGTTGTTTTCCGTATTAAGAGTTCTAATCTGAGTTTGCAGCCATAAACTGCAAAGACGAGACATATGTAGATCAGTCGAATCCAGACGTCATCCTTTGTCTGAATGCAGTTTTATGACACATCGCCATGCGCGTTAATGGATAAACCAGAGCAGTGTTGCGCCACTCCTTCCCTCCGAGCTTGCAGTTCAAATGTCTTCATTCTAGTCAGATTTGTCTCAAATGGAAAAACCAATTCCAGTTACTTTGATAGAGTTGGCTTTTGACTCATGGCAGGCTGACAAATTACTCATGGAGCCCAGCAAAATGAACCACACCATACTTTGCTCTGACACGTGACCTTGTAACTCATCTCTTGCCTCCTTTTGCGCTAGGAAATCTTGAGTTTGAATTTCGAGATGCGTGCATTCTTTCGAGGTTTAACAACGGCAACCGTATCGTTTCGATAGCCAACAGATTGAGTCAGTCTCTATCCCGTACAGCGCTACCGTTCCTCTCTCGAATTTCCTCACTTCGCACTGATTGACTGTGCGATCGACTGTACTCGTGGTATACTCTCATTAAACGAGAATAAGTGAAATTTTGAGTCTCTTTTCCTTTCTATCCTTTCGTTTCTCTTGTTCTTTGAAGTTTACCGCCAGATGCGGCGATCAATTTAGTTCCACTCACTGGACTCATGATGCCGCCTAATAGGCTTTACGACAATATGGGCTTCACTGCAATCTTTTCAGGTGGCAGCCTTCTCATCCTGTCTTGGAATCTGCATTCCGAGTTCATTATTTTTTGGCGATACTGTCATATACCTGTAAGTACTTTATGTCTACGTTTATTAATTAAAACCATTTTTTTAAGTATTTAATTTATTAGCAAACGCTACACCAAAACAATACGCTAAGAATCATCTTTAGCCACGATTGCATTTTGCCTATTTTTCTCGGTACCATCCTTCGACCGCTGAAAGAAAACTTCCAGCTTAGGCCATGACCCGTCAACCTCTGTTCAGCAACTAGATGAGGTGGTCGATGAATTTTTCTTGCTTTCTTTGAGAATCAGTATTCATCACCAGATCGTCAAATGGTTTACTCTGCATATAAATTTTACTAAACAAAATTCTGACACTTTAAATCGAATTGGATCCATCACTTGGGGGGGGGCACTATGAAACAGCGTATTTGCAAACTTTGGAATTGATTTTAAGATGCAAATAGGATCAACAAATTGCTGATATGTACTGCAGTTCAAGCTGACAAATCTTGATTCAGTCTTGGTTTCCCTAGCCAATTGGTTTTTTCTGCCTCACCATCACGAGGATTGGTCAGACAGTTTCAGTAGTCGCGTATCCTTTCAGGCCGTAAAAGTAGATGCGTCAGAGAGTCTATCCAACGGGCCAATTACCGTGTCAGCGTTTCAGCTCCGGCAGAAGATAACCTGAGTCTGAGACAGAGTGCTTCCATGCACTTGCCCCAGGTTATTTTTAACCGTATATGGGGCTTTCAGCCGATCCGTTGAGCAATGAGTCAAACTTTTGCCCTCATGAAGACCAAGCCATCGCAACAGTCACTTCAATCCAGAGAAGCAGCGGCTGCACATAAAGACTCTCTCCTCGATACTTGTGCTCCGAATCATATAGAGACGCGTGAAGCCAGCGATTCGTCTCAGAGGGCTCATGTCAGCTGCTTTTTGCTTTTACCCGAGGTCAATAATAATATTAATAATTAATATGTAATAATGGTTCCTTTGGAACTGTCTCATTTATTTGCCATTTTTTGAATTAGGTACTTTGCAAAATGTCTTTACGTCTATGCCAATTTATTGACCGAGTGCTTCGGTGGTGCCAAAGAAATGAATGCCCAATTGTGCGGAACAACGCTGGCCACAAACAAACCGCCGCTCTGCTGCTGCTGCATTTGTCTACCTAAAATGAGGATTGATCCGTATGTAAAATGTCAAACAAGTACCATGTAAAACCGGGATTTGATCAGCTCGATCCCGCTTTCACAACGCAATCTCTCTTGGTGTCATTTAAAGTCAGTTTTTAATTAAAGGAATTCCATTCGTCTCCTGCGGTTGTTCATATACCAGAATATTGTGATTCGCCTTACGACGCTGTTTGTTTCAGTGATCTTACTGATGGAAGATATGGCGACGTATCGCAGTCAAGTAATGACTATGTTCATGTAATATCCATTTTTTCGTTTTCTTACCCGTCTTCTTTCTTTCCATTTTAGCCTTGTGTTCTTTCTTCATTATCATCATCATCATCTGCAACGCATTCTCCTTTTCCTTCTTCCAGCTTCTGCAACTTCTTTTCCACAGTGTGTTCATCTCCTCACATTCTTCCTCACTGTCATTTATAGCCTCTTCTTCCTCATCCCCTTCATTGTCTTCCATTTTCTTTTCGTACTGCTTCTTTCTAGCTTATTCCCTGTAACAACAGTCACACAAATTTGATATTTCACATTCGCGGATCTTTCAATAAGGCTTTAGTCATTCAGTGCATCGCATCACTTGTTTTTGATCTTTTCTTATTGACCGTCAAGGCAATAGCACTGTTTGGGCCAAGTTATCTCTGATTGGTCAGATCTTTTCACATGACCAGTTAAACTGAGTCTGGTTGCAGTTATATTTTTCCACTGGAACTAGAACCATGACGTTCTTAATGAAAGTAATGCAGATATGGTTTACATTTGCATTTAGAAACACCCAGAATTACACCTAATGCTGATTATCACCTTGAATAAGCACCTTTCAGGCTGTTCAAGATAATTTTAAGCCTTTTAAGGCTCTCGCATCAGCCAGCAAGGCGTGATCACGTCAGAGTACTACTCTGTCCAAGTTTTTATCCAGTCATTGACTTACTGCCCGTTTCTAGGCTAGTTGCGTCAAAATTACGTGAGGTAAATTTTTTGCTCAATAGAATTCGTCGCTAAAACACAGAACGTTTCTTCGACGAATTCGAATATGACCTCTTTGCCACTCTACTACCAGTCCATCTGAACATTTGCATTTCCTGTGGCAACCAACTGATCTTCTCTTCGAAGAGACCAAGCGTTCAGTATCTTTAGCAATGCAGATCTTCCTGATGTTCTTCAGACTTATTTTGCTCCGATCGCTCACCTCCTCCCTCCCACCTGAATCAAGTTTTCAATGACAGACTTCCTAATTCACTGGCAGATTCACGATGTATTTCCAAACGATACAAAGACAAGTGAATGCTAAGCTCTAAAGAACGGAAACTCATCGATCTTGAGCGATTTGTTCGAATTCCTATGACCCTTCTGCTGAAACAGCCTGCACACGCTCTTTAAGAACTGCTCTTCGTGTTTTGATTTTCGTTTTTTCTCCTTTTGTGTTTTAGCCTCGCGGATTGTCTGAATAACTGAAAGCAATGATTTCTGCTTAAAATTTTCAGTGTTTAAAGGGCTTTGCTATGCTGCATATATTGACGTTCATGGTGTCTTCATGAACAGCAAAACGTCATCAGTGGTTGCAAGAAAACTCTGCTCTCCTACTTCTGAGGTAGACAAATTATTACCGCCACATAGGAACGAGTTTCAGAAAACCATATACTGTATTAGCCACGGAGCAACTGGTGTGTTACATTCAGAAAGGTGGTTTTTTTGGCTATTAGTCAGCTGATGGAGACCAACGCCACACCATGAAATATTGACTAATCTTTTGTCCATTGTCTCACTGTTGTGAATGTACCAGTAAGTTATGGTGCTGACCTAATCTTCTGTTTCTTTGCACTGATGAAATTGCTTGACCATCGAGTCTTCAAGTACTTTGGCAGACAACCGATGTGGCATTTTTGGTTTAGCGGAGTAGACTTTGTATTTTTTACGTCCATTGGCTGTCATTTAGCACAGCTAAGTGGTAGACTCATCTTCTCCTTGCGCTGAATAATGAAGAGATACTTCTGTTCATCCAGCTATTAATACATGGAAAACCACTCGCAACCGAAATTCTGCTGCTAGACTAGAGTTTCGTTTATTGTTTTAGGCCAAAATATTAGAGTCATTATGATACTTCTTTGATCACGTATTTACTCTATCAGATGGCAAGAAGATTTGCCTCTTAAGTATTGCTGTTAGGTGGAAGTCAGACGTAGTTTACCTGGCATTTTTGGGGGATTGCATTAAATCCAGAGGATGCTGTTTTGCTGTTAAGACATCGGTAGCTGCTGCGCCTTGGCAACGAAACTTTCAGCTTCCAGACAGGTATTATCGCACACCGTGTCGATTCAGTGCTCATAGATCTTTGCCTCATAAATGAGGTATACCTGGCTGACATCAAATAATAAAAGTCGGCTCTGAACCATTAACTTTGTGAACGAACGACAAGACTGTGAAACAGATGACACTAATGACGAAGGCCTGATAACGAACGCTGTTCCAACATCTAAGGTAGCTTTCTTGGCATTTCTGTTGGACGGTCGTCATGATAAACAGAGCCTAATACGAAGCTGACGGCCATCAGGCGTAAATCTTGGTCACTCTGCTGTTCGTGCTCTGTTAACTTCAATAATGACAAGACAGCAGCAACCTTGGCATTTCTGTGGTACTAGGAAGTAAGCCTAGAGCAGTATCACGCTCTTGCAGTTCTTTCACTGCGTTAATGGTTCAGCACTGTGCCCTACTACTTAATGTCATGCAGGAATGCCTCATCTACAAATCAAGGATCTAAGAGCAATGTATCAATGCTATACGCTCTAATAATCAGTTGTAAGCAGCTATGCATTTATGAAAGATGACAATGCCTACAGCGATGTAGTACCTACTCATATTAATGTTTCTTTGTCTGCACTGGAAATGTGAAAGACAATTTACCTGTAATTCATACGAATAACTAATCGTTCGTTACGTCAACCGAGAGAATTGTTATTCACTTACTTAATTATGCACTTCGGTAGAAAACAAGGTTTTCGTCTCCGGTTATTACGCTTCTGAACTCGGCGTCTTTGATTCTGGCGTTGTACGGTTTGTCACTGCTTGGATCGCTGGCCTCTACGTACTTCCAAGGTTCGTTGATATACACACTTAAGAACTGCGTGCAGATGTTCATCATACTTATGAACGTTCAACTTCCCGTATTCAACTTGCTGTCCAACACTGTCGACTTATTTCCTTACAACGCGATCTTGCCAGC